TACACTCGTTAACACCTAATAATGGAGAAGATAATGCAGAATTGTACAGCCCATCCGACTAATTAAATCCTTAATTAACAAGGAATCAAGCAATGCCGTACACCAAACACCTTGATATAATTGAAATAGTGAGTAATCAATAGAGCCGTTTGGTTAGACGTTTTTACTTAGTTTTATCAATTAATTTATTTATCAATCTGATTTCACATTGAATTATCTAACAACCAAAAGAAGAATCCGTTTAGTAACCTGTTTTTTTGTTTATCAGCCTTTAATCCATTTTTCGTCAAACACGTAGTTTTTTTTTTATTTTTGAATGAAATTACTATCAACGAAATTAGGTTCCATATATATATATATATATATATATATATATATATATATATATATATATATATAGAATAGAGATCAAATACAAAGCCTTCTTAATTTACAAAGTACAAACTCATCTTGACCGTCCGATGAGTTGATCCAAAGGACATAAAGGCAAGGTGGCATTTTTGTAATAAAACCCAACTTTTTAGGGTGCAACTCGTTGCACCTTAATGTGCAACTGTTATTTTTATGACTTTATAATGTGCAATACTTTGAACCTCAATATGCAATGCAAATAACGTCAAGGTGCATCGTACAAATATTTGCACAATAAGCACACTTTGTACTTGATCTTTCCCCTATATATATATGTATATATATATATAGATATATATTAAATACAAAGTATATTTTTTCCATAATTTAGTAGATTCAGTCGTTTCACCCAAAAGTCCATCAATTTTGGTAGATTCAGTTGTTCAATTTTATCAAACAGGCTCTAAGTAAGATTGAAGTTACTTTTATGACTGAATTGATCGAAGTTGCTATAGATGATAAGTTTAGTTATCCTCATAAGTTTTTATTTATTTTATTAATAAAATACTATCTTCTTCCTGTTATATGTGTCTTGTTTTTTTTCATAATTTTTAATAAAGTAATTGAAAAAGTAAAAGTTGTGGGTGAGATTTGAGTATAATAAAGTGAATTGTTGTGCATCATTTCTTCTTTTCCAAAAAAATGAAATGTTACACTAATTTTGGGATAATCCAAAAATGACAATGAGACAAGTCAAATGGAACATAGAGTGTATATTATAAGTATTTTTTTTTCATAATTATACATATTTAATAATTTTAGTCGCTTCATCCAGAAATTTTATTCATTTAGAATTTTAACCACACTTTATACGGAGTATGCAGGGACGGATCCAGGATTCTGAGTCAAGGGGGGCGAAATTTTTCGTTAGTGTAGGGGGTGAATTTTTTTTCGTTAGTGTGGCGGGGTGAATTTTTTTCCCCTAGTGTAGCGGGGCGAAATTTTTTCGCTACTGTGGGGCTATGCGGCTATTTTTATTTAAAAAATGACATTAATACATGCACATCCCGAACGACATTTAAATCTAATACATTTTAAGTTTAGACGATGACAAAGACATCAACCAATACATTTTTAATAACTTCTACATTGTTTAACCTCATAAATCGGTTATTGAATTGTAATTTTTGTCCACCAAGGAGGGTGTTCGTGAGTCATGACTCATGAGAAGTTTTCTTAATATTACAATAGTAGTATACTAGTATGTATGAGATTGTTATTTTTAGAATAATGTGCACCACATACACACACACGTATATATGGCGCATATTATATTTTAATATTTTTATTAATTCTATAATAATTTAAAGTTTATAATCGATGCAATAAATTATTTTTAGAAACCAAGAAGTAAATGAATTATGTAATCTAATGTCTATAAATATTTGTATTTTGGATTCATTTCACGTGATCTAAAAATTGTGTAATTAGTGTGTCTGGTATTTAATATTGTTTGATATATGTTTTACAAAATCCAGTACTTGTTATCTAATAAAGATAATTAAACATTACAAAACTAGGAATTCTTATATAATAAGTATCCTAAATCTTAAATAACGAGTTACTCTATTGTTTATTTGTTTAAGTTATGTAAATTATTTTAGATGTTTATTCTTTCAAATCTCCAATTAAGTATTACATTATGTAAGACTATATACTAACTTTGAAAATTAAAAGCTAAGGGGGGCGAATCTAATTAAATTACGAAAGTTTTATGAAAATATTACATATATAGTAAAAAAATTTGAATGTCCAAGGGGGGCGGTCGCCCCCCGCGCCCCCCTAAATCCATCCGTGGGAGTATGTGTTGTATTTATTCTTCTCTCCATTTTCTATTAATACTAAATTGTAAAAGAAAATTACTCCGTATAAAACCTTATAGACAAGTCCGATATGCGAAAATGAGGAATAGTTTAGACTGTTATTTGTGGCAATGATTTATTCTTTTACGCATTCATGTACCCCTGAGGTCATTCAATGAAGTCATGAACAGTGAACACATGATTCCCTGTGAGTTTTTGCCAACTGGCTTTTCCCATTATCCAAACTGTTGTGTAATGCTCCGTAATAATTGTTAGAAAAATGGTTAAGGTACACAAAATGTATATATATGTCTGTCCTTCACAACAAATTTGTTTGTCACAGACATTTCAAAATAAGTTGTCTGTTACAGACAAAATTTTCGTGAAGGACAGACATATATACACATTTTGTGTACATATTTTGTGTACCTCTAGCAAAACTCTAATTGTTACCTATTTGTATACAAAGTATTACGGAGTACTTGGTAATTGGCTATGTAGCACCGACACCGGTACGCGGAAACGCGGAAACGCGGAAACGGGTACGGGGATACGTCAAAACCAAAAAAAGTAGGATACGGATACGGGGCCATATTTATAAATATTAAAAGTTATGGGGGTGTATTTACAAATATTAAAAGTTATAGGGGTCTATTTATAAATATTAAAAATAGATTTTTTTTGAATACACACACACACACACATATAATATCCTATGATGTCTACCCATTCATTGCATTGAAGCATTTTCCTTTTTCAAGATACTTAGTAATAAATTCATAATATTTCTCATATACACTAGTCATCTCGAAATATAAATATAGTCAATAAGTCATTAATTTAAAATGAGAAATAAGTCAAACAACTACAATCTTGAAATTAAAAGTGCAAGTATCCAATTCGGAGTATGAGTTAATGACTTAATTCGGATATAGCCATATAGGCCCATTATTTGATTACCAAGTAAAATGTAGTTTTAGATTTTCATTTTTGTTTAGAATTTTATTAAGTAAATTTTGGTATTTTTTTTTTAAAGTTGATACGGGTATCCGTCAGGATACGAGTATCGGAAACTTTCAAAAAATTACAAAAAAAAAATGGAAACTTTTAAAAATTGCAGATATGGCCCGGGAACGTACGGTACGGGTATCCTAGAGTATCGGATACGGGAACGTATCGGATACGCCGATACGCTACCCTAGCGAAGTATCCGTGCTTCATAGGTAATTGGTATATACAGTCAATAAAAATTTACTACCTCCGGTTTCTTTAATCTTCACAGTTTGACTTCACACAAAATAAGAAAAGAAATTTGACTTTACTGTAGAGTACATTGTTGAGGCACTGTTTGACACTGTTTGGCACTGTAGAGACACTGTTTGGCACTATTGAGACACTGTTTGACACTGTTTGACACTGTTTTGATATAGATTTTTTTGCCAAAAAAGGAAATAAGGAAGTGTGAAGTTTATTTTAGACTGTCCCAAAAAGGAAAGTGTGAAGTTTATTAAAAACCAGAGAGAGTACTTTTTAGACAAATATTTTTCTAAATATTTGTGATTTTAGAAACACAATACCGAGTATATGAGGACTTTTCATGTCCAGCCGGCCTGACGGGAACCGCCGTCCGGCCGAGGGCATTTCGGGCACTTCCCGGTGGAATTTTTTGATGAATTTTTTGGGCATGTTCTTCATCAAGTCTAGTTTATCCATACCAAATTTTAGCTCAAAATTCAATCGGGAAGGCATTCAAATAATTTTTTGAAGTTGACTGGGTTTTATATGTATACTTTGACGCAGTCAACTTCAGAAAATTATTTGAATGCCTTCCCGATCGAATTTTGAGCTGAAATGCGGTGTGGATAAACTAGACTTCATGAAGAACATGCTTAAAATATTTCATCAAAAAATTCCAACGAGAAGTGCCCGAAATGCCCTCGGCCAGACGGCGGTCCCCGTCAGGCCGGCTGGACAAGAAAAGGACTCCCGAATACCACATTTTCTGAATTAACTTGTAAGAATGGTCTTCTTTCGGGCATGAGATTATATTATCGTACTGTTAATAGGCGATTCAATTATCGAATTTTACTTGTGAAATAATTTGATGAATTACAAAAAGATAGTATGTATTTGATAATTGAGTTGTTTAACTATAACGATTAATAATAGACAATTCCCTATTTCTGAACACTAACACAAAACACATTTATTTGTTGAAATGTTGTTTACCAAATAAAGTTTTCACTTATTTAAAAAAGTAAGAATAGTAAAGAAGTTATTGTTTTGTTGAAACACTATTTTCCAAATACTTTTATATGATATCCCTATGACTTAACCTAATTGAGGGATGTAAGAGTAATTCACACTAAGATCTAAAAAGGGAAGTGATAATATGTTGAAAAAAACACCACATTCATATATGAATGTAATATTCCAGTTTTTTCATTTGAAGTGTTTCAAATAACAAAAATGTTTAGTGTAGATGAGTTGTACACAAATTGAACACAAAATCTACTTGTTGTTTATGTATACAGACAATTCATTTTAAAAAGTGCAGGACTTGATATCAAATTGTCTGTGTACACATGCACCTAGTTGTCTGTGTACACAAGCAATTCATTTAAAAAGGACAAGAGTTGACGTTAAATTGTATGTGTCCACGTTTTGTGTACTTTAGAATGGTCCTTCAAATAAATATGATGAAAAAATATGGGTAATTGATCCATAGCTACTAATTACTATGGTCTATGGGTAGTGTGAAATAATCGTACGGACTATGTCACTCCCTATTAATTCACTCCTCATTATTAATGATAATAATGATTAGAATCAGAATCATGGTCAAGAAAAAAATAGCTCCAGCTCTGTGTCTCTGAATATCAGCTCTTTTTGTTTTCTTCTCCAAAACTTGCCTCATTTTTTGTTCTCTTTCCATCTTTTCCTTCCTTTCCTGTCCACAGCTTGCCTTCATTTGTTGTCTTTGGTATCTAAATTACGCAAGTCCGCATAATTCGATTCTAGATTTGGCGTAGCATATTTGATTTACCAGAGATCAGGAGGCGTTTCCCAAAATTTTCGATTCGTTTCTGTATCCTGGATGTCACAGGAATTAGGGTTCAAAGTGGGTCAATGACGGTTTGATTTGAGAAGACAGCGGAGATGCTATGTGCTGAAAGAGTCTACGGGTATGCTGCGTGCCTTCGCTCGTATGCACTGGTGGGTGGATTGAGCATTTGAAGTTTTGAATGCATGAGTAATTGATTCCCGGGCACGGCGGCTGGCTCGGGATTCATTGATTTTATTAGCGGGGATCTGATCAACTGCCAATGGCTGCGTCAGGGAACGCTCCACCGCCAGAACCCCATTTTCTCAATGGGCTGCAGCCGGAACAGTCTTCACCTCCAGATGGCGTTATGGATAAATTTCGACTATATGAAACTCGCGCGGTAACTATCATTCTTGTGAATTTCGTGGATGGCATGGCGTTGTAAATCTCTGAAATTCAGGCGCAGCAGGCAGAAAAGAACGATTTTTAATAGATGGCTTCTCGTTGTTTATCTTTTTTTGAGATTATTAGGATTTCTTTAGCTGTTAAATCCCATCATTTTCTTAGCTCATCTATATTTTTCCCATTGGCCATAGTTTGGCAAGTCAATATTTTCTTTGCCAATCATTTTGTGACATCGATGCGTTGTTTTAACTTATTTATAAGTGAATTGCTAGACGTCTTCCAATGTTCAATGAATTAAGAAGTGACCCTCACAATACTTTGTCTGCTTTCACTTCTTTTTATCAATGTTTAGATGTTTTTGTTGCCTTTAATAATGATTTTGACTGGTTTAAAGTTTTCGCAAGTTACAGGATTCTCTAACATGTTACGGGGTGATACTGTTATTTATTTGTTGAACTATATTTACCACCTATCTGAATGTTGGAATGCTTAGCATGTTTCAATGCTGGTCACAGGATAGTAACCCACTGTGCATGTTTGAATGATGGATGATACAGGCTCCCCATAACAGCTAGATGTCTTTAACAGGCCAATAAATGCATTTTATGTTATCATTCTTATTGGTCCTTCTTCTTCTTCTTGTTTTGAACTTTGTGCTTGCCCTGTTAAGACATGAGGGGGGTTAGTATGTTATCCTTGGCATATGAGAACACATTTGTTGTATTTTGTGTGTGTATGTAGTATGTTCATTGCTTCCTTCATCATATAACTCTAGCATTGTCTGTTCCTGCTTGAAAAATGACTGTATTTTTTGAAGTGTTTTCTTACTCAAGGTTAGCTTCATTCATTGTAATCTGGTCTGCAGAATTTTTACCTGATAGGGAGGAATAAGAGTAGAACATACTGGCGAGTTTTGAAAATTGACAGGATGGAGCCTTCTGAGCTTAACATTCTTGAAGATTCAACGACTTACACAGCAAGTGAGTGCTCTGATTTGTTGAAGAGAATACATGAAGGAAACAGATCCACAGGGGGTTTGAAGCTTGTCACCACGTGTTATGGAATTGTTGGTATGAAGATTCTGTGAGCCTTTTTTCTTTCATACAAGACTTCCATCTGATATCAATCGTTGTCTGCTCTCAAAATGTTCAGGTTTTATAAAGTTTTTGGGTCCTTATTACATGGTGCTTATTACCAAGAGGAAGCAGATTGGTGACATCTGTGGTCATACCATATATGCAATCTCTAAGAGTGAGATAATCCCACTTCCAAGTTCTTCTGTTCAGTCCAAGATGGCTAATTATAAAAGTGAATGCAGGTTATGATTTGTTTGTGGTTTTGTTATTTTGTTTATTTAGCAGTCATTACCCCTTATTATAACATATAATATGATTGATTTGATGTGATTGTTATTTATATGTATAATCTGCTCACAAGTTTTACCCCTGTGAATATACCTCTTGTATATTCTTTACTTGGAGTGGAATTACTTAATTATGTGATCAGTAATAATTAACCTTTGTTTCCTGATTTGCATATTGTGCAGATATAAGAAGCTCATGTGTATGGTGGATCTTACAAAGGACTTCTTCTTCAGCTATTCATACCACATAATGAGGAGTCTACAAAAAAACATGTGTGATAATGAAACAGGGCAAGTTCCTTATGATACCATGTTTGTCTGGAATGAGTTTTTGACCCGTGGAATACGGAATATCATCAGTAATACTTTCTGGACAGTAGCACTGGTCTATGGATTTTTCAAGCAGGTATCTGGGTGGTCCCATTGGCTTGCCGAAGATCCATCTTTTCATTGACTATTTCTAGGAGTTGTGAATGATCTATATAGGTAGCTAAAAAAATTGAGTGGTCCCATTTTCTTTCTGAAGACCCATCTTTTCATTTACTATTTCTAGAAGTTGTGAATGATCTATAGGATTTAATCAAAGAATTATTCTTTTTAAATTCCTGCTTTGGTTAGTTACTAGTTATTACTTCCTCCGTTCTTTAATAGTTGCAACATTTTGATTTTTACAATTTACTCTATTCACATACTTTACTTTGACATATATTATGAAAAATACAATTGAAGTTGCCTGAATGTGAAATTTCAAATTATGAGTTTTCCTTACTATTTTTTCTAAAGTTCAGTTAAATATATTAACGGTTAAAGTCGTGATTGGTAAATATCAAAGTCAAACTGTTGCAACTAAATATAATGGTGGAAGTATTTACTAAAAGAAGATTACTTGCTGTTAGAGATATTACTTAAAATTAAAATTTAATGCCTAATGATGGGACTCTATTGTTTTCACTTTTGTTTCACCTCTAGTAGTTATTTACGACTAATGAATTATTATAGTGGTAAGCAACTATCCACTGTATCATGCTCGTATTTTCTTTACAAACTTATGAATATGACAGATGCTGATCTATTTTTTTCACTGTGTCTCCAGTCTAGCATTTCAATATCTGGGCGGTACTTCAAATTGGCACTTATTGCGAGGCGTTCCCGCCATTATGCTGGCATGAGGTCAGTATTTAAATACTTATAGCATACATTGTAATATTTCACTAGCTTTTAACAGCCATTGATTGTTTTAAATATCAACTTATTAGATTTTATGTACACTTCCCTTTTTTTCAACTTTGAAATTGAAATGTGGATTGTATATAGTTATTTACTTATATATAGCAATATGCATATATATTACACTCATACAGATACACACACACATTTACATATACGCATACACCTTTCTCTGCCTTTTGGCTAAGATCAAATGTAGTATATGTTCTTATCGGTTTAATATCTGATATGTGGGCTATTAGCCCAGACAATCTAGTCTCAATTTTTTGAGGGGGGAGTCCCGTTTTATAAAAAAATACTCATACACACATATATATATTCTATACATCATATATTCTATATATAGATACATACATACACACACACACACATATACATGTTCATATACATGTACTGTATACATATTAATACACACACATGTAGGAATAGATCATGTAAGAAATACCTGCAGAGTGTAACTTATAGTGACAACAATGTAACTTTCAACACAAATCATAACTTCTAAGCAGCGTTTTTTACTATAAAAACAACCAGTAAAAATAACCAATAAAAATATATGTTTTTGTCATAAAAGCTAAGTTTTTGTTACTGTTAAGTAATATTTTGCAGGTGAGAATTTCTCAGCTGATCCTCTCCCTACATATATATATATATATATATATATATATATATATATATAGACACACACACACACACATATATAGACACACACACACACATATTGCACACACCACACAAACATATATATATATATATATATACACACACACACACACATATATATATCTGTATATATATAGACACACACATACATATTGAAGTTACCTTAAGGAAAGTCAAAAGCCCAAACTATCCCTGTTCCATCCAATGTGGTAGCCCTCCTGAATAAATATTATTTAACTGAGCTTGACTTTCAGGCACTGTCATAGTGTCATCATTGGTCTGTGATCAATAAACACAGTCAATGCAGCTCTGATGTTGTTATCTCACTAAAAAAGTGATTTGGTATAATAATTTACTTTTAAAAAATTGCACACCAATGCTGATGTTTAGTTCCTTATTTTGATTAGATATTTGAAACGAGGAGTGAATGAAAAGGGAAGGGTAGCCAATGATGTTGAAACAGAACAAATTGTAGTTGAGGATGCTGTGGAAGGGTTTCCAATGCAAATTAGCTCTGTTGTCCAAAACCGTGGGTCAATTCCACTCTTCTGGTCACAGGAAACTTCACGTCTAAATATTAAGCCTGATATAACATGTAAGATATCACAACTTCCACAGCTGCATATCTCTTTAAATTTAGTCTTTTTACAGTAATATTTATTTGATTCAGTGTCAAAGAGGGATCAAACTTACAAAGCAACCAGACTGCACTTTGAGAACCTTTCCAAGAGATATGGAAACCCCATAATTATATTGAATCTAATAAAGGTGAGGACATTTTAACAGTATATGCATTACTATTTTGATGCGGATTTTTTTGTTATGGGAGTTATACCATTGTGAAACCTGAGGGGTTTGATTCGTTTATCTTATACTTGAAAACTGCATAACTTAATGCCCTAATACACTACCAGGGTGTCTAAGTTAAACAAGTTCTTGTTTTTGACAGACGCATGAAAAAAAACCTCGGGAATCTGTTCTTCGTACCGAGTTTGCTAATGCTATAGAATCCATCAACAATGATTTATCAGAAGAACATCGCCTTAAGTTCCTTCACTGGGATTTGCACAAGCACTCACGGGGGTATTTGGATTACCCAATTATTGTTTCCAAATTCTTTTGCCAAGTATCCAGTTTCATATCAGTTTTAATGTTTATTCCGTTTCCAGCAAAGCAACAAATGTCCTGTTTTTCCTTGGGAAAGTGGCGACTTATGCATTGACTTTGACTGGCTTCTTCTACTGCAATGCCGCACCATCCTTGAGATCTGAAGCATCTCCATGGCAGCCCCATCTTGAGTAAGTTAGTTGCCAGTCAAGGATTTCAAGGAAATATATGCTGATAAAAAAGTATTTCGATCTGCTTGTAATTTTTTAAATGAATTAGTTGCTATGTCAAGTGTGAGAGTTAGCTAATATGTATGGCACAGGAGCGCTGCTGCAAGCTGTATGGTTCAACTAGGACATTTTAATACTGATAATGAGAAACTTGGTGATGATGAGAATGGCAACTCAGATAAAGCTGATGGGAATTCTACTGGTAATCCTTCCGCTAAGCCTCTAATGCTACAGAAGGGGGTGCTCAGGACAAACTGCATAGATTGTTTGGACAGAACTAATGTTGCACAATATGCATATGGTTTGGCTGCTTTGGGTCATCAGCTTTGTGCCCTGGGAGTTACGACTACAACAAATATTGACCTCGATGATCCTTTGGCTGAGGATTTAATGGGATTCTATGAGAGAATGGGTGATACACTTGCTCATCAGTATGGTGGTTCTGCCGCTCATAACAAGGTTGTCAAACCAAACCTAGCATTGTTAGCCAATAGTCAGTTTGTATGTCGAATCTCATCTGTTAGACAGTAGGCAGTTAAGCAGTTTTGTCAAGTGCATTTGTATTGAGCATTGTTGCACTTATAGCTCATATTTTATTTGTGACGATTGTGTGAATTTGCTTAATTTCATTACCAGTTCCCACTCCCCAAACCTGCTATTGATGCCTTGCATTTTTAAATTCTTCAGGTTTTCTCACAGAGAAGGGGTCAGTGGAAAGCTGCCACACAATCACAGGAGTTCTTGAGAACTCTTCAGAGATACTACAACAATGCATATATGGATGCAGAAAAACAGAATGCTATTAATATGTTAGTCCATCATTGCTGTCTATCATTCTATTCCCTTCTTCACTGGATTACTTAAGGGGATTGAAAACCTGGAAACATGTTTAAAGCATTATATATGTTACCCAAATGCTTATCCTTCCTTCTGAAATACCTCGAATGCTCTAAAGAGATTTGTCTGATATTGCGTGGTTGATTTTGCTCCCTTTGTTTGAATTTAACTAACTAGTGATGGAAATTTCTGAGCAGATTCTTGGGACACTTTCAGCCTCAAGAAGGAAAACCTGACATTTGGGAGCTGGATTCTGACCAGCATTACAATGTGGGTAGGAATGTGGAGTCCAATATTGATGAAAATGGAAGGTATATTGACGGAAATGATTTCTCTATTCTGCTTTGATGACCTGTCTGTCGAGGAGATGTCTAGAGTGTAGAGTTCTTTCTGTCCATATATTTTAAAAAAGCTGTAGTTTTGACACTGACACAAGCAATATATAACACCTGAAAATCACTAAACCAGATCGTGGATCTCATTTTATTACCCACCTTGCACAATTCAATCCTGATATCTCTTTCTCAATCTTAATGTGGGGTTATTGGCATGTGTTTTGTGCATTGATGTACCTGTGGTTGCACTTTCTCATGCAGATCAATCTTCAAAAGATCATTCTCAGATGGGAACATTCTTCATGAAATCCAATCACCCTTACCCACCAGGACCTTTGAAAGAGATTTTTCTAACATCGACTTTTCTGATCAATCGAAAGGAAGGAATGTCCTCTCTCCATCAACCCCAGAAATCTCAAGTTGCAAAAGTGATTTGGCATATTCTAGGTAATTCACTTTGTATGACTGATTGTGATACTGGTATATCCTTTTCCCTTGTAAGCTAAAGAGCTCATGAATCGACAAGCCGGCTGTGTTTTCTTCTACATCAGTCCTTTAGCATTAAAACAATTGGCTTTTTATTATTAAGAAATGTGAAGTATTACGTGAAACCCATAGAATTTGGGGTAGTATATTTTATGAACTCTTTGCTATCCTACCATAGGGAATATATACCCTAGAATCTGGATTGTTTTTATGAGGTTAAGCATTAGTTGGCATTAGATGCAAGATCCCTTTGATTAAATTATGTAGCCATTATTAATTGGAATTTAATCTTAAACTCTAGCCTTTACTTTTATAATTTTCAACTTTAAATGTTATTATTGTAACCTTAATCTTGCTAGGGGGATCATCAGTTTAATGTTAACTATTTCTTGTTACATTAAGGTGAAATTAGTCTTCTTATTAGAACTTTGATCCTGATTTCTTTTACCGGTTTCATACATACAAGTAACATATAATCATTCAACTTATTAGGAAGGTGAAGATTGTCTGCCTACACCTTTCTTCCTGGTTGTGCTGAGTATATTTATTTACGTTTCACATTCTATAATCTTTCCCAGGTGTACTCCATCTATGCCTGCAAAAGAGCTTTTTCTAGAACTGCAGGGAGATAGAAGCGTTGAACATGAAAATGGGGATGCATCTGATTGCTCAAACTTTGTTGACCTAGATTGGCTTTCTTCTTCTGGGAATTCCTATGATGAAGAGTTACTAGAAAGGTAATTATTTAGCAACTGTTTAGTTCATTATAGGTTCTTTCAAATATCATAAATTTGGACTCAGCATCTATACATGGGAGGAAGTAACCTCAGCTTAACTAATTTTCAAATTTCAACTTGCAAGAGAAGGAAACACCCCTTCATGACTGGGGTTTGAGTTCTACAAGTTGATTTATAACTATCATCATTAACTGTATAAATGACATGGTGGCTTGAGATAATTAAGAGGTGATGTGCAGTGGTGGTGGTTTGTGGAACTGGCTGAATTGGAAAAGTCGTGAATATCATTCACTGCTGGTATTTCATAGTATCCTGCACAGTTCTCAAAACTGTTTATTGCAGGACAAGTTTTCTTTTATTCATTCTGATTGGACTTGGACATTTTCCCCTTAGGCGATGGTGTTTTGGGGCATAAATAGATGGAGTTGCTTAAATTATAAAGTTTCTAAAATTATAACTGAATTGAATGAAGTCGTTAATCTAATAAATGAAAGGGCAGCCTGTGGAAGGGTCCTACCATCAGGGTATATAAGGCCGGTGCGCCACGGCTCCCCTTCAAGTGGTTGATGTAGTACCACAAAATAATTAGTATGTATTCTTAATAGAATAAAGACTAAAACTCGCATTTTCTCATCATTTTCTGGACAACATTTTCTCGTCATCAACCAATTAAACTCGCATGGTCAACTAAGTTGATGTTTGGTAAAAAAAACTAGCAGAGAAGCTAGGTTCATACATGCACTGACCAAAACAGAAATTCATTAATTTTTGCATGGTTGCAGATCAATGTACACAATCTCTCCAACTGCGGGTACATCCTCAGATAATGTTGTCAGTGGAATGTTGGGAGAAACTGCCAGTGAGGGTGAATCTAGTACGAAGGTCAGTTATCCAGTCTGCTTATTTAATCTGTACAGTGACTCATCACATATTTATTAGTGAGCTTGTGCTTGAAACTCCTAGCCCAGAGTAAAGTTAGTTGCATATGAAGCTCCCAGTCTATCTACTGTTTTCCTTTTTCCTTTGTAATGGTGCACTTCAGTGCAAATTTACTGCAACACTATGAAACAATATCTTAGAGAAAAGGGTGATGGTCATTTGAATTATGTGAAATGTTATTTGTGCCAGAAAAACAAACAAAACTAAGGTGCACATAGTCTCCACATCATTTATATCTTCAAGGGGAAGTTGTTTTATGCTTTCCATCAATAGCTTAAATGGATCTTTGTCTAACGGCTATACTGGATGAGATATGCAGTCCTAAGGCATTGCCCAATGTTCTTTTTTATTTTAATTTCCAAGTACCTTTTTTGTGCTGGAACTTGTGTTTCTTGAATTCTTGTTGTTCGTTTGGAATTTCTGCCGTTCAGTTTGTGGTGTTTGCATGTCTTCATGTTTTATCTTCCCTTTTTCCTATGACCCTTCACAAGAGAGCTGAATGTGTATTTGTAGGGAAAGAGGTGTGATGTGGTTGGAATAGAAGAAGTTGCTTACAAAGATAGCCATATATACAAAGTTCTTGAAGAATTCTCAGACAGTTTTGTGGGTTGGGTTACGTATGGGGAGACACTCTGTCATTGATTAATAAATATGTGATTCTAAATGTGCATCTCAAGTCAACCAACCAAGAGACGTTGAGAGGATGAACCTCGTCAAGTGATATACTGAATACTGACTGCCAAATAATCATAAGAATTATTCTTTTAGGAGGGCAAGTGCTGCTGCTGCTGCTTTCCTCATCTTTTCGTTTCTTTTCTTTTCTTCGGAATCATGTACCTCCACCCCTCAGCTACCTACCCACTCCACTATTGTTGTAAATGAATATGTACACGTGTTTTTGACAGGACTTGTGAGTGAGAGACTGAGAGCTCTACTTTATGTATATTCTTCTCCATGCCGATTGATTCGACAGTGTCTACTACATGTTTGTATAAGTGATAACAAGTGCCTTGACATATTTAGGACATTGGATGATGAAGTTCTAATGTATTTTGGACCAACACTTTCTGTTGATCGATTTTGCATATAATAACAGTTGATATATCTCGTGTGTGTTATTAGTATGCCATTCATTGTGTGATTGCATTCATTGAGTGATTGCTCACTCCGGTACCCTAATGATTCAAGTAGTTGTGAAAATCTTTTATTTAACTGTTCCACCAACTTGCCAAGGCAAGTGAGAAACCTGGAAGTCCAGATTGTCTCGGACATGCACATGGTACTTACTCCGTATATTTTTGGTTGATTCCACATTTTGAGACATGTAGAGATGCCAAACACAACTACACATAGGCATGGATCGGTCCCAGAGTCCTAGGACCAGTGTCGGTCATTCCGCTTCCAGTCCCCACAGCCAGTGCTGTTCCTAGTCTTGTTTTTTTGGTCTTTTTATACTAAGTATGTTTTAAACCATATAGCCCCTCCCTAGCATTTTTTAACTTTTAAATGGATACTCATTTAAAATGATTATAATGCTTGAAAAGTTGAAATGAATAAAAAAGACCAGGGACCAGAGTCACCAGACCGGACAATTCCAGTCCTTAAACATCATAATCTAAACCGGCACTGGTCTGAAACCTAAACTGAAAAGAAAATGTACACCTATGTACCACTGGTCTGAAACCTAAACCGAAAAGAAAATGTACACCTATGTAACTGGACATCTTTGAAGCGGAGACCGTACCGATTACCAAATCACAACAGACACCTATACTGTTTAAGAGCAAGATTTTTGACATGGGAACACGATTTTCAATTATAAAGGGTTTGCTATTCATTACAACACGCACCCCTACAATGTGGTTTGCTATTCATTACAACGCGCACCCCAACAATGTTCCATAATCCACATGGATTAACACCTCCAATACTCATGAACCACTTCCATTCACCCATTTGAAGAAACATAAACATGGACTACAGGTCTACAGGTTAGCGGTATTTATCAATCTAGTCATACTGCCAGTTTTGGTGATCAGTATGGTTAGACACTTTGACCTGGTCCATTTGTAGTTTGTACCACAAGTTTCGGAGATCAGTATGGCTAGACCTGGTTCCATTGTACCGTCAGTTTAGGGATCAGTGGGGGTAGACCTGGTTTTGATCCAAGACTCCGCTGTCTGTAACAGTAAGTAATGGGTCCCAGCTTCGGTTCATTCCTGTTTTTAGCTTTCTAATATTCCGTATTAAAAATTAGATTGAGCATATGGATAATTATTAAAACATATTAATGGGCTACACATAATATGCTGGATTAGACCAGTTCTAGTTCCAATCCTAAAGAAACAGGCCAGTAGTTTACCCGGTTGTGTTCCATCTGAAACCACAACCAGGTCAACGGTCAACCTATAGCAATCAGCATGATTTCAAATAATGATGAAAATTTATGTGTTGGGCAGAGTACACATACAAGACACAAGGTTCTTAACATTTCATCAGTTTCATGTTGTAGCAAACAGTACAAGAAAGTGCAATGACAACCACGTCTCTAAAGAAAAAGCAAACAATTGTACAAATAGCCGATTTGCACAACTGTCACTGCCCGTCATGTTTATCTGATCTCTCTGACAAAATAAATAGCTGATTTTACTGGAGAATTCACTCTAATAAATCAGGCAAGTATGGGGAAGATGCGCGTAACATGTTCCAATGGGACAGCTTCGGTTGTGATTTTCTTTAGTGATGGACAGTTGAACTCGTTTTTGGGGAGGGTGATGAGTTGGCTCCTGCTCTGATCTTTATCTATGACCCATCCATTTTTGGACACTTGGTGTTCAATGAACTTATCCAGAGATAGGCCTTCCACATTGATGGCCTGACATAAAAAAAATAACATTACTTTAACCAACAAAGGATGTTAGTAAAGCATGGCATGCTTGAAGATCTCTAAAGGAACATACAGAACTGAAGTAAAGTGAACCAGTTGTAGTGTATATTTGGGAGGGTAGTTTTGGAGGAAGAGAGAGACTGTGAGAGAACTTAAGGTTTGTTTACAATAAAAATTAATAAGCTATGTGAATTATAGTAATAAATAAATTACTAGAACATCGATTTTTTTGATGTTATCAAGAATGAAAAATAATCCCTCCCCTCTCCCCTTTCCTTCCCTGCACCCCCCTGACATATCTTTAAGATCAGGAAAAAAAATACTATAGCTCATGCTGGGGCAAGAACCTTGTAAAACAGACTATGAAGTTGGTAAAAATGAAAGCAAATACTTTTAGTGCACTCCTATAATGCTCAAAGCCTGAAAGCAGCACTATGGGGAAAATGTTTTTTGGACTAGTTGAATGTTATGCTAGTTGTAACTTCACGGTCAGGACTCAGTCAAGGCCACAAATAATAAAATCAAATCAAGTACTTGCTGATAATGAAAGTTATACCTCTGCAAGAACAGTCCGTGGGACCTTTTGGTAAGTTAGTGAAAGAACGTGAATCGCATACATTTGGATTGCTTGTTCAAAACCTGCAAAAAAATCTTACTTAATCCACCAGAAGGAAAAAAACTGAATTAGCTATGCAAATTAAGTGGAACCAGCAAGCCCGAAGTTGTATTCCTCCCAAGTCATTGTTTGAGGTGACATCACAGGATCAGTATAAATATTATTTCTTGAATCACTTTGAAACACATTGTAGTAGCATATATAGTTTACCAATTGAAAGGGGTTTTAAGTAAAAGTAAAGCTCACATACCAGGAACAACATCTAGAATATGACGGCTCTTTGATGCCTCATCCCAAAATTGGTGGAATCTTGCTGTCTGCATACAAAGATTGAATAATAGCAATGTGATTATCTCTACATCCAAACTTAGACCATCTATGGATAATCCTGTTTAGCTTTAACATACCTCTAAGTAGTGTGAGAGAACAATCAGCGTCTTGAACTGTTCTTCCATTTGCTGTGCATTGAAAAAACAATAGTTCAGCAATTCACATAAAATGCAGCTTAAACCAGGAATCAAATAACATCACGACTTGCTTATATCAAAATCTGAAGGGTAATGCTTGAGGATTCCTGCCTTCTACTTGGACATTTAACAAGCTTACACGCATGTTAACCAAAATTAGATGAGTTACTTGACATATGGAACCAACATGAGAACTATGTAACCGTCCCTAAAATACTGCTTTATAAATTCAAATAAATTCAAATTTCACCAAAAGAATTAAAAAAGAAGTTGATTTTGAACAACTATTGAACTTAAGGGCGTTAATGTGGTATAAATAAAAAGAAAAGGATTAAGATTTTATTCTGAATTCATAACCAATTCACATAGTTTAAGAAAACAAAAAGATATTGGGTTTGCCTACTTGTAAAGCATCAAGCTTCATAAAACGTATTGTAAGCATTACATTTTGATATGGAGTAAATAGCAACACAAAGAAAAAATTGTATACATACCACTCGTTCTGGGATTAAGAAAAGACAGAGGCTGAAATCTGGAGCTGGCATTGCCATGAGGGCCTGCCTCAAATAAACAAGAACAATGTTTTTAATTTTTTTTTTTGAGAGGTAAGCAAATCATAGATTAAGTAAAACCATTACAAAGTACTCCCCGGATACACTCCGGGATTACATCATGATAAACCCGGTCACAGCTAAACTCACAAGACCGAGCTAAGGTATGTGCTGCCATATTCATCTCACGTTTAACATGCTTAAAAGAACAAGCAATAAAGCTACTGGCAACAAATTTAATGTCAGCAATAACAGGCCCAAGCACCGAGCGATCCTTTCCAGTTGCTTGCACACGTTGAATGATAGAAAGACAATCGGAAGCAACACTGATTTTCTGGAAACCTTCATCCCGAGCGAGATTGAGTGCACGCCGGACAGCCAAAGCTTCAGCCAATGCGGGGATAGTGACTTCATCAACAAGTTCATTGCAAGCAAGCAAACAATGCCCTGTGTGGTCCCGAATCACAATCCCAATGCCCGTTTTACGAAAGCGAAGAAAAAGGGCCGCATCCACATGAATGCAGACCGCATCACCCGCCGGTGGAACCCAACGACAGTCTGAACAACGGGGATCACCTCTACTTGTCCTCAACGGTTTAAGACAGTGCTGCGTAAGCATTTCCATGTAGGCGATGACTTTGTCAGCCACCCTACGAGGGTGCAGCACCCCTTCATTATTGCGAGCCTCATTCCTCGCCCCCCAAATATGCCAAAAAGTAACCGCAAGTACCGTTGAATGAATAGCGGTCTCACTGGCCAGAAATGTAAATAACCACTGCCTAGCATTACATAAACTCTTCATACACAGTTTTAAAGGATAGTGTACCTTAATAGCATTCCAAATTGATTTTGCAAAGGGGCACATCAGGAAGCAATGCTCAACACGTTCAACCCGGTTGCAAAAAATACAGCTGTCCGGGATAGGGATGTGGCGTTTCTGAAGTTGAAAAGCTGTTGGGAGACAATCATGTGTAAACCGCCATAGTAAAATTTTCATCTTACTAGGAGCTTCAATCCTCCAGAGAGCCTTCCAGTTCTTCTCCTCAGTCGCCCCATCAGAGGAAAGCCCTATGCCACCCCTACTTCTTGAGATAAAGAAAGATTCTGACCTGGCTAGATAGTACGCAGATTTAACCGTATACATTCCAAGCTTTTCATGTGGCCAGGACACGAAGTCCTCCTCCCCATGTTGACTGATCGGGGTCTGCAGAATTTGATTGGCAATCTCCGTATCAAAGAAACTTCGGACCAAGTCCTCATCCCAGGATTTGTGCCCATCTCTCATTAAGAACTGCACTGTAACATTTAAAGGAATCGGGATTAATGTACTGAAGCAACCGACGGTGTAGCCCGAGATCCAATTATCCTGGAGGATTCTAATAGAGTTCCCACTCCCCACCCGCCACCGGAGGCCTTTCATCACAAGATCACGCCCAAAAAGCAAGCTTTGCCAGGTGAAGGAGGAGGACCGAGGTTTCAAAGCTGACATGAAGTCTGAGTCAGGAAAGTATCTTCCTTTAAGGACCCTTGCACAAAGGGATGTAGGCTCCGTGATAAGACGCCAACATTGTCTCCCC